TTTTTCCTAAAACTTTGAGCGGGGATATTTCAGCAACTATCTGAATAAATTCGATGAAAAGGTTTTTATTCGAATTATAAGGATCTATAGAATTAAAATAAAAAATAATACATCGAATTTGATCAGATAGTTGCTGAGATATCTTCGCCTAAAGTTTTAAGAAAAAAACTTATATTTTGATATTATGATGAAAATTCATGGTATTCATCCTGATTTTGAAAAGCTCGGTCTAAAATGATTACTGCGCAATAACAAGACTTTTAGAGAATGTATTAAAATTTTATTTGTAAAATTTAGCTCAAATAAACAAGTACTTACGGAGTTACTAAATTTTTTGCCCTTGTATTATAGCGCTTTACAAAAAGATGTGACCCCATGATTTTTGTGATGATGAACGAGGATTGCAATTAATTAATTATCAGTTATATTTATATTTATTTGAAATGGTAAGATTCTTAAAATCAACAGAATCTCTGATTTTCACACGACATTGTGATATGCAAAGGTCCCAACTTTTTGCAAGGCGCAATAAGGTGAATTTGATTTTTTTTTTTAAAAAAAAAAAAACTTTGAGCGAACATTTCTCAGCAGAAACCTGATCAAATTCGACGAGTTTTTTTTTTTTTTTTTTGAATTCTGTAGATCAATGGAATTCAAATAAAAAACTTTCAATCGAATTTAACCAGATAGTTGTTGAAATATCTTCGCCCAAAGTTTTAGAAAAAATTTGACGCAGCTTCTATTTTTGATGTTTAAAAACTAAAATATTTCAGCGATTACGGCACGATTCCCCGAAAGCTATTTCCCCGACTCAACATCACATCGGGTGACAAAATAAATACCTGCAACTAAAATAATGCTAACCCTAACCCCATGTGATGTCGGGTAAGTGACCTGTCGAGGAATGTCTTTCGGGAAATTGAGCGACAACCATTTCAGCAACCGCCTGATCAAATTTGATGAAAATTTTATTATTTGAATCCTATGAATCTATAGAATTCAAACAAACAAACAAATAAATAAATAAATAAAAAAATTCAATGAATTTGATTATGTGGTTGCTGAAATATATCTACTCAAAGTTTTAGGAAAAATTTGGCGCAGTTTCTATTTATGATAAACATGATATTTTTTTAAAAAAAAAAAATAGAGCGATGATATCTCAGCAACCACTTGATCAAATTTGATGAATTTTTTTTTATTTGAATTCTATAGATACATAAAATTCAAATAAAAAAAAACATTCGCTAAGAAATTGCATACAATCACGTACAATCGATTGCAATCAGACAATCGGGCATGCAAGTGACCCGCAGATTTTATCAAAAGTCACATCAATTTGCAAACAGCGATAATATAAAATGCAAGAACCAGATAGTATATTATAAATGTCATTGTAAACGAAACATATGCATCGTGGAATTATATTTCTTTTGATCTATATGAATAACATTTACAAAGTAAATCTTGGTTACAATAATAAGTTTTTCTGTATAAGTAATAATTATTAAGTTTCTAACATGTATTGTAAAAGTCAATTATTTCGGTTCTAATAGCGGTAAAATTGTTGAAATAGGTACTTTTTTTCTCTTCGTAACTACAGAATGGGTAGAAAGTTCCAAAATAGAACCGTTTTTACTTATCTTCGTTAGTACTAAAAGCTTTTTATAAATCTATATCTGGGTTATGAAAAGTCCCTAGACTAGATCTTTCTTAATGTTAGCGGAGATAGTAAAATGTTCTGTCAGGGACTTTTCATCCACCTGATATCACGGTTTTTTTTTAGGCCAGCTAAAACTACGAGTAGTCCGTACAGGAACTTTTTTTATTATTTCCGCTAATATTATGAGTTTTTTTATAAAATTATACTGTATTTATTTGCATTACAATAAAATACGTCATTTAATGATTAACAAGAAAGGCTTCACTAACTCGGAATCAGAACGCGGAGTCATTTAGTGAGTGATTAACAAAAAAGACTTCACTAACTCGGAATCAGGGGTGCGGAGTCATTTGGTGATTAACAAGAAAGACTTTACTAACTCGGAATCAGGGACGCGGAAAATGTGATTAAACCAAATCGCACCAAATAGCAAAATTTTACATCATTTAAATCATATCAATGTATATTATCGATAAGAATACTATCAGCTTGATTTGGGCTAAGTAAAATAAATATAATCGTCCTTAAGAAAAAATCAATTATTTTTTCCAAAAAGAATTACATCAAGCTGAGCGCTTGGATTTATGTCAATATCTGATATATTACTCTGATACGCTTTTATAATTTTATTTAAAAAAAGTGGTTTTAATTAATTATGAATAAATAATAAGCAGGTCAGCATTTTATTAGTTGAGCACAGTATTTAAAAATTACGTTTTTTTTAAGTAAAAATCACATTAATCACACATAATTTACAAATTTTATCGCATAAATCTCGTGCCCCTGCTCGGAATAGATTTATAAAAGCTCTTATGATTTTCACTTATTGCCAGAAGCTTTCAAAATAATAGCAATTCTCCGTCAAAAATTTTATTATAAAATTTATATCCTTTAATACAATCTACACTTAACAATTTAGAAAACAAAGATTACATTAAAGCGGAAAATTAAGGCTGGTGGGTCATGGGAACTGAAAAACTTTCATTTCATGTTCTTTTAGATATACGTAATACTCCATAAAAAATTTTTTTTTGGAAAAGTTCTAAAATTAATGTTCAGAAATCTATTTTATTCTGGAATAATATTACAAAACAATAATAAAGGATGATTCAGAAATGATGTTCAGATTTCTGATTTCGGTAAAATGATCTTCAAAACACTCCTAATTTACTATCTGATCTCGGAATTTTAAAACAGAAACAGGAGTTGTTAAAATCATTTGCATTAAGTTAATTCCGAATCACCCTAATTTTTTTTACAAGTCCGACAATGATCCTAACTTTGCGGCAAACTGTAATTTCCTTGTATGGGAGATATACATCGATTACAGTTACCAATCAAATTTTACGAAGTGATAAAGCAAAAAACACAAGAAACGAGTGCTTAAATCTGTCATGGAGCACTAATAAAAAATGATTGGGAAAATTTTACCTATAATGCCATCCAATCATTTACCCTAACTTTGGAACTCTTAACTCTAATTTTAGTTGCTTCGTTTTTTTTTAAATACCCTTCTAAATAAGGAAATCGAAAAACGATATAGAAATATTATCAGGTTGCACTTGGAAACTATCAAATTGCATAAAACACTAAACAAAACATTATTATACGTACGGTGACATAAAGTACTTAAATGGTAGCGAATTGCATAACGTCATACAAAAGAGGTAATTTGTATAACATAAAGACGGACTTGTAATTCCACGGCTTATGAATTGTGGAATATTGTTATAAATATCTCTTAAAACTGATCCTGTCAAATCTAACAAATAATCTACCAAGTCATATAATTCTAATAGTTTTAATAGATTTCGAATCTGGCAACCTCCCAATACTGATTCAAAACTTGTCCACCATACATATCGGTTTTGGGAAGTTCGACTGTTATCATTGGCAACGAACGTAGCTGCACTAAAAATATTCTTATCATTAATTTTTTCAGTTATAATCTGGCAACTATCTGACGAACTATCTGACAAACTACCCGGAAAACTATCAATTAGCACATAACGATGATGAATCACGTGAATAACTTAAATAATCTAAATATTTCATATAATGATTTAACTGATGTTAAACTGCGGCATAGATCTGGTATTGGTATTTTTAAAAGTGCAATTTGGAAACAATCTCATGTATCTCTTACAGTAGCCCTGATATTATTAGAAGATATTCCAGAGGTAGGCATCATTATCTCTGGTTAAAGTTTTTTATATTTTATAGATATGAAAATTCTACCGGGAAATCATATGGGACACCACTAATGAATAGATTGATTACATAATAGTGCCTCTTATATAATTTGATTCTTATGTGATCAACTAGTAGCTATATTATTTGAGTGTTACCAAGATAAACCCCGCAATTCTATAATATAATTGCGGGTTTCCCTTGGCAACACTTATTTCTTTGTTTAACGATAGGCTATTTAAAGCATTAATTGATGTTATTAATAGCGTTCGATCAAAAAAACTTTGGTTTCATGCAATACAAAATAAATTTATCAAATTTTTTGAATTATTAGTACCTGCCTAAGATGTGTCCATTAATATATACTTTATTTATGCTTACAGTTACAAAATATAAACCATGAAAATATTATGAAAATTTATGGAATAACTTATGGTATATTTTTATTATGCTTGAAAGTAATTCTCGAAAGTAATTTACTCCATAAATCATAAAACTCATTTTACGAATCCCTAGATTCGGAATGTAACAAAAATATGTTAACACTGCAATTTGCTACTAATGGAAGTTTGGGAGATTGTTTAACTCGCGGTCACGATAAATTCAACCGGAAAACTAAATTAAAAATCGCGAAAGATATAGCTAAGGGACTAAAATACTTGCACGAAAATAATATAATCCATGGAGACTTGGTAAAGGTCTTGATTTATCGAATCTGAAAATAATGCATGTTCTAATATTAACCTATGCATATTATTATAGCATCCCAATAATATATTTATTGAGAACGAAGGTGCACTCATAGCAAATCCCTTAATATCCAAAATTAATAAAAGATATTCATCAATAAATACCACGAGGAATATGTTATTTTATTTAGATCCACGATCATTCAAAGACCCAAGCTGTCCGCCCGATTATAATTCAGATATCTATAGTTTTGGTGTTATAATGTGGCAAATTTTTAGTTGTAAGGAGCCTTTTCCAAACCATACAAATTTAATGAACTTTATGTATGATATACTAAATGATAAGAGAGAAGAGCCTATGGGAGACGCCCCTGATGAGTATATCAATCTTTATAGAAGATGTTGGTCATCCGATCTAAATAATCGACCGTCTATGCAGGAAGTTGTTTCAAGCCTTATGCAAATATCGTAATAAGTCAATTCCCGATAAAATTTTCTATTGGGCCATAAAGAAGTTACAAGAAGCATTTACAGCATTATTGAGTCTATATTAAAAAAGAAATATATGACTAGATTTACAATGCATTTATATGACACCTCAACGGGTTATCCCATTTACATGTAATTAGTATAAGCGATTTTTTTTATTCACGCGTAACATAAGCTAGCAATATATTTTATTACACATTAATTTATTTGCATATTTATATAGACCTACATATTTACCTAAACTCGTAGCATTTAACTCTATAAATTCTTATAATGTCACATATTATTAACTATTGTTATTTAAACATATGTTGTAACTAGCCCAATCTGACAATAAAGCTTAATTTATTTACAGATTGCGAATATAGGCAAACATTTATATATTTTGCTGATGTAAAAACGTGGAATAAGATATTTATAAAGGATGGTATTGTAAGAATTTTGTCAATTTTTGTCAATTTGTCTTTCAATTATCAAATGGGTAAAGAAAAAAAGGTACCAAAAGCTGGAAGTAGCAAAAAGGCACAGAAGCAGGTCCTAATAGTGGAGGAAATACCAGCCAAACCACCAGGTTGTTGCACCAGAGGAAAAAGACATACACTCCAAAGTATGGACCAATGGGAGGGCGTCCTTCAGGCATCTAAAGCCTGGGCAAACTAACTCTTCTGGGTTGCCGGCTGAAAGTAAGAGAGGGACCAATAAAGAATCTGGGTAAGAAGATGGTCTAAATGTGGGGTACTGAGGTTGCTAGAAACCAAAACAAGGGCAAGGAGTACATAATAGGCGCCTAGTTAGGAAGGTTGGTGTTTGAGAAACATCCATAGAACAGCAGCATCCCAAAAGGTGGTGTGAGATACGAATACGGAATGGCAGGTCAATATATACTAATTAAGAAAAGGTTATAAAAACAAGCATATGAATATATGTGTGGGACATGTATCACTATGTTAGGTTTACCTCAAGAATAGTTAAGTGTTCTAAGGTAGGGTGCGAAATCTAGATTGGGTGATTCCAAAATCCAATGTATGAATGGTGAGAAAACTCATCAGGTTAGGAGGAGGATGAAAATAATTAGAATTAGATAGTTTAAATAGGTACCCCTCTAGTTGGGGTGCAAATATAGCAGATAGTATAAAACCTTTAGGCGGATTACTTAAATTAGGCACTCAAAAGGTGCATGTGTGGCTTGATGTACCATCATTGTAATTACATATAAAATTCTGTTTATACTCTAATAAAAAGTTCTCTAGGTCAAAGAGGTCACCTTAATACCAAAAAAAAATTTATAATTAATAACTTTATATTATATTAAAAAAAGCAATAATTTATTCAATTTTTTAAAATATAACCAAGTACTTATTAAATATTTATTATAAATATTTATTAAATACTTATTTTATTTTTTTTTTTTGGTATTAAGGTGAGGCCTTGCTCATATCTTTATTGATTAATTTATATAAGTAATTACATATCAACTATATAAAAACTTAATTTGTATAATGACAAATAAATATAAATTATATTCAAGAATAAGAGCTCAGACTAAAAGCTCAAACTAAAGCTCAAACTAATTATCTGCAACCTAAACCTACTAGAGTGGTCAAGACTTATCTAGGTTTGAATTGTTAGAATGTGGTTAATTGATATGCTATATTTGATCCACATAGTAGACCAAATATTAAATTTAAGAGTAGCTTGTTTTAAAGGAGGACAAGTATTAAGTTCAGAGTGTAATTGATCGGCAGAGCCACAAGGACAACTGTAAGTATAGTTAATTTTAGTTTTTCTATTGGTTAGCCATGAAGAAGATTGGGGATGAGTATTATAGTTGGAGTAGAAAGGGATTTAGCAGGATTTTTTCTAGTTAGAGAAATTGATACAGTATGGGATCCAGATATGGTTATAGAGTTGGTTAGAGATTTTAAGAAGTAGCTGAATAATGAGTTGTGAAGCATTGGAATATGAGATTTCAAAGGGGTTTAGAGATTGAATTAGAGATATAGATATGAGGCCTTTAAGTGTAGAATTAAGAGAATAAGGGTATAGCTGAGATGGTAAAGGATTGAAAGCAGGTGTGAAGAAATAGTGTATATAAGATTATTTAGTTGATGAGAAGAAAGATTAAGATTGGTATTGGTAATAATATCATGTATTGATGAGTTAATAGTTTGAATTAAAAGATCATGGTTAGGACAAGTGTACCAATGAGAAGAAGAGTCTAAATTGTTACAAGAAAAGCAATTGGAAGATATGAATATATGAGAATAAATGTTATGAAGGTGTGTATATGTAGGTAGTATATTAAATAATATTTTAATTTTAAAAGATTTCAGATGATTTAGTTTGGAATTAGTGAAATTGTGTGAAGTTTTTTGATTGTTGTTGAAGTATAACCAAGAAGTGTTCCAATCAATTAGGTGAGAAAAGTGAGACTATTTTTGGGCACGGTTTTGTGAAAACTATAAAGCTATATTGTATACATTGCATATTTGTTTAGTAAATTGTCTCGAAGGGCTATCAATAAAGTTATCTTTTTATGATAGAACAAAGTAGGGGTTATAGGAATTAGTATAGTTAAAAGATAGCATTGGGAAGGTAGAGTGATTATTTGCAAGTAAATTTGCCAAATTATTAAAAGTGTCATCAGAGTGGACTTGAACTTTAAAAAATAAGAGTTGGATATTAAAGGTTTTTAAAATATTAAGAAGTGTATACCAAATAGGCCAGGAGTTAAATTTGAAGTATTTGGTAGAGTGAGAAGATAAAGTAAGAAGTTTGTTGTATTTAGATATGATTGACTGTGAATTGATATAGATTTGTAGACTAGAATTTTATAGAATTGTAGAGATAACAGACAATATTGCTAATAGTTCAGCTTTATAGGAAGAGAGCCAATTAGAGATTTGGGCAGAGAAGTTTTGTATAACTAGATTGTTGTGAATTTGAACCTAGCCAATATCTATAGAGCATTGGTTAGTACCAAGTTGTTTAACAGATCCATCAGTGTAAAAGGTAAATTCGTGTTTAGATAAGTTGGCTAATGTGATCTGAAAGAGCTGGCGAGAAGCTTTATTGTTAAAGAAAATGTTAAATAAAGGGGAGTCAATAATATTAATTGAGGGTGATGGTAGTATTTCTAAAGGACGTTTGATATTAGTAAAAAATATAAGGTCAATGTAATTTGCATTAAGATTAAGTTGTTTGTTAGCTTTTTTTCTTTCCAAGAACTGGATAGAAAGAATAACAGATACTTCTAAAGTACAATAGCTAGAAATACAATTAGAGTTAAGGTTACAGCCTTGGCAAAGTGTATAGGAAATAAGGGGTAGTGAATAATGATTAGAGATAGAAGTGTCAATATTATATTGCTAGTTGTTATAGAGATAGTGTTAGTTTGTGAAAAAGTTCTGCGGACTTGACCAATTACAATATGCTCATTGTAATATAATAGAACCCAAGGTTTGTGAGTTTTAGGAATAAGATTGGTTTGATATGCAAAAGGGTTAGAGCCATTGGGCTAAAAAGGAGGTAGGATAGTGCAAGATAGATTATTTTCAAGAATAGTATCTTCTGAGTAATTAAACCAGAGTGGTTTTTTGCCTTTGAGAATATATAAAATTCTAGGTGATAAATGTAGCCAGTCTAACAGGGTCTTGTTATTTGCTAAACAAAGTTGCTCTAGGTATAAAATATTTTTGTGCCTAAGTTGTTGTTTAAAAGTATTATATTTAAAGTAATTAGAAAGAATGTTTTTAAGTGAAGTGTTGCTATTATCTATAGTTTTGGGCCAAAAAAAGTCCAAGTATGCATATATAGAGATATGTAAATAATTAAAAAGTTGTATAATTTTTAGAGTAGTAGTGTGTTTGTTAGGGCCATTGATAATAGGATAAGGGTATTAAAGAATGTTCATTGTAGACTAGAGGTTGTTTTGAAGTTGTTGAAATCAAATATGTATAGTAGTACCAAAAGTAGATGAGTTGTTAATCTAGTTAAGAAAATTGCTAATATGGTGTTGTAGTTGTATATTCCAAATGTTTTGTATATTATAAAAATTGTGATTAAGAAGTGTGCTATTAGGAGTAGACTGAGAAAGATATGCTTTGTGAAGCTAATATTCAGTAGTTGAAATAATTACAGTGTTAATAATATAAGTAATTTGTTTATCAGTTATGTTTTTGGTACTAACAATATTGGCTAACTAAATAGCTTCATTTTGAATTAGTTTAATTGGTAATCCACCAATCAACCAGAAAGTGATTATAGTAAAATATAACTCAAATTACTTATAAAAATTGAGAGTTTCTAAATGTGGCGTGTGCGTATTTAAAACTTTTTTTTATACTAAGTTAATCACCTTTCTAACTTAAGAGACTTTTGTAGAGCTTGTCAAGATGCATCTAATAGTAGTTAGAGTGTTAAAATCGGCTTGGTGAGTGCTGAGATATCTTTAAAAAACATTTCTTTTACTATATAAACTTCTTTGCAAACAATAGTATTGTTTGCAAAGAAGTTTACATAGTAAAAGAAATGTCACCAAGCCAAATTTGATGCTTTAACTACTATTAAATGCATCTTGACAAGCTCTACAAAAGTCTCTTAAGTTAGAAAGGTAATTAACTTAGTATAAAAAAAAGTTTTAGATATGTGCACGCCACATTCTCACTATAGTAAATTTATATAGTAATTTGAGTCACTTTTTACTATAATCATTCTCTGGTTGACTGGTGGATCACCAATTAAATAATTTTCCAAACAACCCATATTTTTACTTAATACCTTTGTCTAGGTAATAGTTGAATATTTTCTTCCTATATAAACACATTATTATTACAATTTATTAGATAATTCAATAAATTAAACATATAATTTTTACTGTATGAACCAACCAGGTATATTAATTAATTATATATTGTAGTATATTTGTTTACTACTTTTACACTTATTCATATTTTAATTTTGAAGATTAATTAAGATAAACGGTATATATGCATTTAGACAATTCTAAAGAAAAGCAACTTGGCAACTTTATTATAGCAATGAAATAAATAATAAAGGTATGCTTAAGTAATAACGAAAGATTTTTTTTGTCTAATAAAAAAGGGTTTGAACATACACGAAGTGAAATCTTTTTTTTGTTTATATTTCAGATTAGTATAAAAATTTAATACATTTAAAATGTAATGGTTTAAAATTATTAAATAGAAACAACTTATCTAATAAATTATAATAAACAATTATTATTATGAATTATAATTTTATCAAGACATATTAAAACAGAAATCTATTTATACTTAACTTTAATAAAATTTTTGTGCGATTCTAAGATTCTAGATACTATTTAATTATTAATTTTTCATTTTTTTGAGTTTTATTTTGTTCTTTTTTTGTTGTTCTTCTTGACGCTTTTGCTGTTGTTGTTCTTTTTGATGCTTTTGCTGTTGCAAATAAGTCTCTACAACAACATCTTGAGCACGTCGACCTGTTGTATTATGTTCCTCAGATTTCTCAATATCTTGCTTATAGATATCTTCTAAGCATTTAATACCACGTTCATAGCATTCAAATAGATTTTTAAATCCTAAATCAGTATTCTGAGATGTTTCACTAAAAAGCTCAAATTTAGTAGAATCAGGTAGATTAAATTCTTCTACTAATAAATTAGTTACATTTTGAAGCGCTTCTTCACAAGATTTTGTAGTTCGATCAACTGGTATTAATAAATGTTCATTAATATAGTCACTTAAAAGTAAAATTAATCATTCTTGTTCAGCTTGTAGAGAAATAATCTTTGATTTTAATTCCTCAGCTGACTGAAATATAGAACTAATGTTTTGTTTAACGAATTTGACCACAAATCTTTCAATAGCTTCATCATAGGCAAAATAGTGACCTGGGCGAGTTAAATTTACTGAACTAATATATTCAAGTATTTTTTGTAAAACAGGATTTTTTCCAATAAATGATAAAAAATGTGTTAGAGTGAGCATAATTACTATGTTGAACTACAGGAAAAAGTGAAGCGAATGCAGTAAGATATTCTATTTGCATTTTATAATTTCCATGCCGTATTCCAAGCTTATGGCCTATCCATAAACCTGTCCAACGAAAAAATAAATACCAAACCTTTACTACATTATTGTTTTTATTAATTAAACTATTCATTTGTTTGTTGTATTGTTTTGCATATTGACTAAAAGCACCTCCTATGGCAATCCAAATTAACTCTAAAACACGACAAGTAGCTGTATAATCAACAACATTCTTGAGTTTATCTAAATATGTTACTCCTAACTTAGCTGCTAAACTATATATACTATATCCTGAAAAGTAACAAAGTAATGTAGCACACATTATTTTTAATATATGCCACCCTCCTAATAATAAACTTATTTCAGGTTGATATTCATTTAATTTTACAAGGTGTCGAAATATAGCTTTATCACAAGCCAAATAAAGATCTCCATTACAATCAAGTCTAACATCATCATAATACATTCTTGCAGCACTATGAACATTTTCATCACTACATAGATTTTTCCCAGATTCTAAAATAACTAAGTTCGGTAAATCTACCTTACATCCCAATTGAATATTCTTTTTTATTTCTTGCCAAAATTCATAAATATTCGAATAATTGTTATTATTAAAGTTAAAAAAGATATTAAAAATATCTTTATATTTTTGGACTCATTATTTGCAAAATTAGACATCCCAACCTTAAATTTATAACTAGCACCAGAAACAGATTTTGATTTGCATTCTGCAGCAATATCTGATAAAGACTTAGGTAATTTAAACTGTAAAACTATTCGAAGAGTGGCATAAGCTGTACGTCTTGGTGTTTTAAAAATTTTATTATATACAAATGTACTTTTCTTCATGTCTATATTATCCATTATACATAAATTCCAAATATCTTCACCATGTAGTAATCTTTTTGAAATATCAACATTGTTAATTCTTTGCTTTTCTAATTTTCTTTTATAACGATTAGTATGTGAAACTACATTTGCAGTACATAATATAGCATATAACAAACTCAATAACTTTGGCTTCCGGCAAAGAGAACTCATAACATGTGAAAATCAAATATTAATGCCTGGAAATGCCATAGAAAATACTAATAACAATATAAAAATTGAAATTTTTTTTGCTCTAGTTGTATCAAATTTTGTTGAAGTAAGATGTTGTATTCGTTTTTTTTGCACTAACTCCTATTTTTTTTGTAAAATAAAAATAACAAAATTATCAAAGAATTCTTTGATTGGTTTAGGAAAACCTTCATGAAACTCATTAAAAGTATTTGGTGCTTCAAGTACTTCTTTTTGTAAACACACCTTAGATCTTGATCGCCAAATGACTTCCCCTAAAGCATTTTCTAGTTCTTGTAGTTAATTTTTTATAAAATCAGTAAATCTACTTTTTTCTTTTAATCTATGTAAATTTACTTTTTTTATACGAAGTGCTGCTTTGATTGCAAAATATAGTGGTGGTTTTGCTTTAAAATTTTGATCTACATCTTTATTATCTATTGAATTTTTAGGTAAGATTGATTTTTTATCAAAAAATTTAATAATAGCAAGCCAAATTTCCTCTAAAAGAATAGCCTATAATTGTTGATCTTGATCTACTGCAATCTCTTGTATTCATCATCCTAACAGATTAAGTGAGTGTTGATTATCTTTTTCATGTATTTTATCACAAGAAAATTTTAGAAAATTTTTTCTTTTACGCTGAAAAAAATGGCCACTTTCACTATCAAAACAATGAGAACAAACATATTTTGATCATATTTGACTTGTAGAAGATCTGGTAAATTCATTATTTTCAATTAATGCAAGACAAAATTTTAATCCAGCATATGGAATTCCTCAGCTAAAAAAATATTTGTCTGAACTGCAAAACACACACCTTCGCTTATGAATCCAACTTTTGTAATTGATATTTGATGTTTTGACCCAACTTTGTGAAGCTTATTTTGATCGAAACTAAAATGAGTTGAACATACATCTAAAGCAGTTAATGCTTCTGTTGTTCCTGATTTGATTGCTACATCTACTACTTCAAAACTTAATTCTCAAATCCCTATAAGTTGTTTAATAGGTCTATATACACTGCTTGGACAACATGGAAGATGCCCTTCTATATAATCAATAACAACATATTGACTACTATCTTTATCAATATTAGTTTCGCTTAGTTCATAATCATTTACATGATCATTATTTGTAGTTGAAGTCCACATAGACTCTATTACTGATAGTGTATCATTGTCTAATGCTAACCAATCAATATCTAGTTCGTTTTGTTCTAAATCTTCAAAATCTTCAGAAGAATTAGTCACTAAACTTTTTGCATGGTTTAATGCAGCCTTATCAAAAATAAATTCTTTAATAGCATAATCATTGTCTGAAATTGTATTTTCTGCTGTAGTGGTTTTTGGTGTTGATGGTATTTCAGATACATTTTCAAGATAGCTTTCATTATTATCAAGTCGCATAATCAACATCAGGATCATTACATTCAAAATATTCTTCATTCGTATATTCAAGTAAGTCATCCATTATATATTATAGAGTTCTAAAAATTATATGAACAGAATTATTAATATTAATTAGATAGATTGATGGTAAATTAAAATTTTTTATTAAAACGTTTATTAGAATATTAACTAAGAACATTACTTTTTATTAAATAACAGTTTTTGAAATACAACAAAATTTGTATAAAAATATTATACTAGGTTTAGAATAAATACTAAACTTATTGTTATTATTCTTTTAAAATATATATAATATTGTAAAATTATCATAAATTGCCTTAAATAAAATTTTTTTCAAAAAATATGTAAAATCAAATCTAATCTTTAACTCTTTAAAACATTAGAGATACAATTTATTATCTAAAATAATTCAAATATAAATATTATGATTTATCTTTAGTTTAAATAGATTGAATTTAATGCATTTTAATCGTCTGAATATTCATAAATTTTAACTAAAAGATTACGTACAATAATAATATGTGCTTCATTGACCTTTGGGCCCATGATCCTTTTAGACCAGAGCATATATTTGAGTATGACTTAGTTGTATATAAAAACAAAGTTTCAGAGCTTACATTTATAACAGTTATACTGTCAAGTTTATTTAAGTTAAAAGTATAAGATAAGAAAGAAAAACATCAAAGTCTTTTTTTCATATGAAAATCACAAAAATTGGTTATTAGATTTAACATGAACATGCATTAGGTCACGTGATTTTGGGACATTTCCACTAATCGCTACAGCACAAACCTGGTACTCATTATCTAAGTTCCATAAGTCAAGGCGATAATTTTCATCCATGTGAGAAAATAACCAAATAATATTTAAAAAAAAAGGTTAATCAGAAACTTGTTTCTGAATTGGGTAGTTCCAAGAAGAAGGAGCCCAGTAATATTTTCATGATAATCACATCACATAATTAAGTGCTCATCCTAAGTTAGAGTTAGTATTAGGGTTAGGTGATAGGTTAACTTAGGCTAATTTTTTAGTGCTAGTAAAAATAACATCATGTATATGATGTGATAACAATGGGTTTCGTGTTCTTTAAGTGTCCCCTTTAGACTATTCTCAAATGCCTTTCTTTATAGCTTACAGAATTATCTAATTAATTATAATATATATTCATTTTAAGTCAAAAAAAAAAAAACTAATTTTTGGTTGGCTGAAATTAAAATCTGTATTTCGAAGTTAAAGAATCACTTCAATTAATCGAACTAATTGAAATGGTTGAGCAACATTTCGATACTAACAAGTTAATTGAGAGAGTTTCTTGAGAACAGTCATAAAACTTGAATCAAGAAACAGTTTAGATTTTTTGCAATTCCCATTATAACATAATCCTAGATTTCACTTCTTTCATTTGTAAATTATCTCAGTTAATAAGTGTTTTCTTAAAGCATAAAAAATCCTGGTAATAAAAATCTTATTAAGATATTTTACCGAAATATTATTATACCTGTTTTGTAAATTATAAAGTTTATTACTTACTTTCTTATAAACGTTCTATTATTGGATCTCAAATTATATGGTTTTGCATATTGCATCGCGCAACTACCTTAATATATATTATAGTGCACATATACAATTAATCCATATTTATTATAGTTAGATTTTTTTTTAATTAATAAGTTTCAAAATCTTAATAGTGCTATCTATTCTGTAAATTAATATAAAATCCTTTAAATTTTTTTTACAAATTTGAAATATTTCATTTTCCTTTATAAAAAAACATGAATCTCTTTCTCTAGTCCAACTTTTTCTATTATCATTAAAATTATCATACATGGCAAGATCAATACCATATACAAAAGCTGGACCGTGGTTAGAACTACAGAGAATTGCATTTCCTGGTACTTTCATACAACTTAAAATAGAATTTTGTATACTACCATTTTTCAATGAAAAAATAAAGCTTTCATTGCAACTTCTAAATTTAACTTTATATTGACTATTCCAACCAATAGGATTATACCCACCAAGAATTTCATCAGTGCCTTTAACCTTAATAACTACAACTAGATGAGTTTGCTTATCTCACAAATCCCAAAACGAAGTATTAGTAAAACCATCTCTGCTTTCATAAAGGAGTAATTTAAATTCATATGGAGTATCAATTATTAAATACATATTATCTTTCATGTCGACCCATTGAAGCAATTTCTGCTGCATGTGCCTCATTCATTAATAACTTTTGAAAATATTTCAACAATTCTAGCCGGTAATGTTTGTTTGAAAATTATTCGAGGCAGAAAAACAGTGGTAGATATTTGTTCTTTTGACATATACTTTTTTACAATATCTTTCCAAAGTTTTTTTCTCAAAAATTTGTTGATACGGTTGTATATGATTAATAATATCATTACCAGACATTTGAAAATAACAGATGTGAGGTAAACAATTTTGTAAAGTAGTTTTTAATGCTAGAAAATTCTCACGAGACCAATCTTCAGTATCGGATGATAGGCCAGGATTTTGAGCAATTCCCCATTTCATAACATAATTCCAAATTTTCACTTTATCTATTTATAAATCATCATGACTAATAAGTGAAATTAATTGTTTTCTTGAAGTGTGAAGAATTCATCAGAATCAAAAATTTTATTAAGGTACTTTACCAAAAAATTATTACACCAGGTTTGTAAATCTTGAAGCTTATTATTTAGGAAACTTTTTTGACAAATACAATTAAAATATAAATGAAGCCAATGAGCATTCTTTTCAATTAAATGAGTTTGAAGGTGTTTAGCCAATTCATCAAAGAGAAATTTGCAAGCAATAAGCATGAGCTCAAAAATAAATGATGCATCATGTTTTTCAAGTAAGACAACTCCTCCATAGAAATAACTTTATATAAAAGTTATATATATATTAGGCTAGAGGCCTAAAAATTCCTAATTTTGTGGCCCGGCACATCTAAAATTAGAGTTAAAATTTTCTGCCAACCCAGCCCGGCCCACATTAATTAATTTAAATTTTTAGCCTAGCCCGACCCGCAAATATATAAATTTTAATTTTTTTTTTTTTGGTGTTAAGGTGAGGTGATCTTTTTGTTAATGGCAATTTATTATTAAGTATTATTTCGGTATATAACAAGAGTACATATAGCCACACGTACACTTTTGGTGTCTAATTTAAGTAGTCTGCCCAAAGTGGTAGTGCTATACTAAAATTTTACACTATCTGCTGTACCTGTACCCCCACTATGTGGATACCCATTTAAACCCTCTGATCATATCTTTACTTCCACTGTGTGGGATTTAAGACCCAGGTGTAACCTCACCATATGCACCAGGGCATCATGGATCTATGTGACACCACTAGATTAACAGCCAGACTTAGGATAGAACCATATTTTCTGATTTATCCTCAAGATAAACCTGCCAAAGTGATACATTCCCATATATGTATTTACCTAGACTTCAGTTACTTATGACATGTCTTAATTCATGTACTTGGAGTCAGAGCTAACCATTGAACCCCTACTATTACCTACTTCTACTCTTTTAAAGTTCACAAACCCCTGTATTACATTCTATCACTTTTCACACCTTACTTGTTTTTGGTATTGTTGTTCTTCCAATTTAGATGGCCTGGAAGGATTGGTCAGTTCAGACTGAGTTTCTCAGACTTGAGTCTAAAGGTCTCCTAATCCTTGGTTCACAATTTCATAACATGTAACCTTTTTCTCCAGATGACCTGGCAGCCTGGTTAGTAAATCTCTCTTGCCCATAAGATCTTTGTCACACAACTTCTCCAATTTTTGGGGTTTAGTCAGATTTGTCATGTAGTATCAGGTAGTACCTGGTTAAAACGATCTGCTACTTCCTTAATCAGAATTTGCCAAGCCGGTTTTGGTTCTCTTGGGCTACTATGTGTAGGTCTTTAATTCATTACAATTTGCACCACCTATACTAGTTTGCATTCTTTTGTGCAATAACACAAATGCAGTAGAGGCAAAATAGGAGTTCTGGCACAATTTTTACACCTGGCATCCATCTTGCATATAATTTTGCATTTGCATTGTTAGATTAATAAAAATTATCTAGAACACATTTATTTATCCAAATTCATATCAAAAAAGATATCATTTTGTCATAGTAGGGTATAAATTTGTATTTGTGTTATCACTCGAATGATGATAAATTTGTGTTTGTGTTGTTATTCTAGCATAGTGATATTATTTTTTGTATATTTAAAATGCAATTTTATGCTCAAATTTATATCAAAAAGATAACAATTATTTATGCTATCTTGTTTGCTATCATTTACATATCAAAAATCTCAATCAGTATACCAATATTGTTATATATCTAGAACATATTCTTTTATCTAAATTTATATTATAAAGAATACAAATATTATTTGTTATAGCAGAATTCATTCTAAAGACAATTTTTAACTATTTACTGGCACAAAAAATTATATATCTGAGTGTAAATTTTTAATAACACATCACTTCATGGGTGTAAATTTTTCAAAGAGTCTTGAGCTATTTCTCAAAGTCTATTAATATATTGGGTGACATAATATCTATTAGCATGCTTTCTACAAAGGCCAGGTTTAGAGCTAGTTGATTTACTACAAACTTTACAAGGAAAACACTTTCTAGCTTTCCAATGTTTATGGCATCCTTCAGGCCAACAACAAGTACATCCACAAATTACTCCTATTCTGAGTAAATAATCACAAGTATATTCACCTATCATGGTATATAAATATGAAAATTTCAATTTAAACAAAAGATCTGGTATA